CATTTTTGATATCTCGCATAGGAGCTGAGATAATTAAGCTCAAACTTGACAGTGTGGGGGCCCTTCTATTACAGGTTTTAGGGGTTTTCTTGTTGATTTTTCAAAATTTCAAAAATTTTTATAGATTCCTAAACTTCGAAAAATGCTTTAACCCATTCTTCAATTTGAAATTCCTCCCTCCCCCCCTGGGGAGAATTTCTGAATTTCTGAATTTCTGAATTTCTGAATTTTTTAATTTCTGAATTTTTGAATTTCCGAACTTCTGAATGAATATTCTTAAAATTATCTAGATTTTCCAAAAAAAACTAGAAATTTTGAGAAAAAAAGGCTGGAAATCCTGAAAATCTGAATATCCTGGATTATGAATTTTAAAACGTTTTTGAATTTCTAAATTTCAAAATTCTACAATTTTGAATACCATTTTTCTTCGAAAATTCAAATGTTCTCTTTTAAAAATTCATGAAAAAATTTTGATTTCAAATGCCAGTAGCCCTTTTTCAATAAAAAATTTTAAGGCTTTTTTAAAGAAAAAAAAAAAACAAAAAACAGAAAAAAAAATGTTACCGTAAAACCTGTAATAGAAGGACCCCTAAGTGTTAACTTTGAGCCAATTTATAATAGGCTACTGATAAAGGTATGAAAAAAACTGATAACAATTTTATCAGTTGACACATTTTTGATATCTTTCACAAGAGCTGAGATAATTGAGCTCAAACTTGACAGTGAGGGGGGCCTTCTATTACAGGTTTTCGGATTTTTTTTGTTGATTTTTCAAATTCTCAGAATTTTTTATAGATGCCAAAAGTTCACCGAAAATGCTCTAACCCATTGTTCAATTTGAAATTCCCCCCTGGGGAGTTTCTACAGTAATCCCAAATGTTGTTATTTATGTTAACCCTATATCATCGCCCTCATTTGATGTTATGCATAACTTCTGTCACTTTTTTACATTTTTTCCAGAATTTCCTTTTTTCCGAACAGACAACTTGTCACATTCTATATGTATATAGAAAGAGCCTCTCCAAAAAGAAAATCGTTTATAAAAAATGGCAAAAAAGAAAGTTTCTCGGTCCATATTTTACACTTTTTAATTCCTCCCAAAAAGAAGGAAAAAGAGTACTTTGAAATTTTGGAAATTTGTGAATAAACAAAAAAAAACGAGCCCCAGAAGTTTGAGGGTTTTTGACTTTTAAAGCTAATTTCTGTCTTTTGGACTAATTTCAATTTGAAGAAAGGAAAAAAGGGGTTTTGGGTCAATCAAGAAGAAATTTCGGAAAGTCTAGGAGGTCCATTAATGAACTGGGGTCTTTAAAAAGACCCTAGGGAATAAGAAACTCCTGAAAAATTAGAAAATTTGGAGAAATTTAAAAGTTTTGGATACAATTAGTTTGAGCTCAGTTATCTCAGCCCCTATAAGAGATATCAAAAATGTGCCAACAGATAAAATGTATAAAATGTATAAGATATTACGATAAACAATTTTTCCTGGAAAAAAATGGAAAAAAGTGACAGGAGTTATGCATAACATCAAATGGGGGGGGGGGGGCATGATATAGGGTTAACATAAATAACAACATTTGGGATTACTGTAGAAACTCCCCAGGGGGGAATTTCAAATTGAACAATGGGTTAGAGCATTTTCGGTGAACTTTTGGCATCTATAAAAAATTCTGAGAATTTGAAAAATCAACAAAAAAAACCCCTGAAACCTGTGATAGAAGGGCCCCCTCACTGACAAGTTCGAGCTCAATTATCTCAGCTCTTGTGAAAGATATCAAAAATGTGTCAACTGATAAAATGTATAAGATATTACGATAAACAATTTTTCCTGGAAAAAAATGTTACTGATATTATGATAAAATTTTTATCAGTTTTTTTTCATACCTTTATCAGTAGCCTATTATAAATTGGCTCAAAGTTAACACTTAGGGGTCCTTCTATTACAGGTTTTACGGTAACATTTTTTCTCAGTTTTTTGTTTTTTTTTTCTTTAAAAAAGTTTTGAAATTTTTATTGAAAAAGGGCTACTGGCATTTGAAATCAAAATTTTTTCATGAATTTTTAAAAGAGAACATTTGAATTTTCGAAGAAAAATGGTATTCAAAATTGTAGAATTTTGAAATTTGGAAATTCAAAAACGTTTTAAAATTCATAATCCAGAATATTCAGATTTTCAGGATTTCCAGCCTTTTTTTCTCAAAATCTCTAGGTTTTTTTTTTGGGAATTCCTAGATAATTTTAAGAATTTTCATTCAGAAATTCAGGAGTTCAGAAATTCAGAAATTCAGAAATTCAGAAATTCAGAAATTTAGAAATTCAGAAATTCAGAAATTCAGAAATTCAGAAATTCAGAAATTCAGAAATTCAGAAATTCAGAAATTCAGAAATTCAGAAATTCAGAAATTTAGAAATTCAGAAATTCAGAAATTCAGAAATTCAGAAATTCAGAAATTCAGAAATTCAGAAATTCAGAAATTCAGAAATTCAGAAATTTAGAAATTCAGAAATTCGGAAATTCAGAAATTCAGAAATTCATGAGTTCAGAAATTCAGAAATTCAGAAATTCAGAAATTAAAAAATTCAGAAATTCAGAAATTCAGAAATTCAGAAATTCAGAAATTCAGAAATTTAGAAATTCAGAAATTCAGAAATTCAGAAATTCAGAAATTCAGAAATTCAGAAATTCAGAAATTCAGAAATTTAGAAATTCAGAAATTCGGAAATTCAGAAATTCAGAAATTCATGAGTTCAGAAATTCAGAAATTCAGAAATTCAGAAATTCAGAAATTCAGAAATTTAGAAATTCAGAAATTCAGAAATTCATGAGTTCAGAAATTCAGAAATTCAGAAATTCAGAAATTAAAAAATTCAGAAATTCAGAAATTCAGAAATTCAGAAATTCAGAAATTCAGAAATTTAGAAATTCAGAAATTCAGAAATTCAGAAATTCAGAAATTCAGAAATTCAGAAATTCAGAAATTCAGAAATTTAGAAATTCAGAAATTCGGAAATTCAGAAATTCAGAAATTCATGAGTTCAGAAATTCAGAAATTCAGAAATTCAGAAATTCAGAAATTTAGAAATTCAGAAATTCAGAAATTCATGAGTTCAGAAATTCAGAAATTCAGAAATTCAGAAATTAAAAAATTCAGAAATTCAGAAATTCAGAAATTCAGAAATTCAGAAATTCAGAAACCCAAAAATAATATTTTTCTATGAAGAACGTCTAGACAAGCTCAAAATTTAAAATTTCAGACTTTTTGATTAAATTTGGTTTTCCAGAAATTCCAGAATCTTTTTTTTTCAGAATTTCCCTAAAAACCCAAAAAAATAAATTTTCAGATTTTTTAATCAATTTTGGGAATTCAGAGACTTCTTAAATTTCAGAAACTTAAGTTTGAAAAATCCTAAAATTCAAAATTTTTTAAAATTAAAAATCCTAGGAGCTCGAAAAAAATAAAAGGTAACTTCTCAAATTTTCGAAAAATAAAAACCCAAAAAATTCCAAAAAAGAAAGGAAAGGATGAAGTGTATTTTCATCTCCAAACATTTAACACATCAAATAAAAAAGGTAGAACATAGAGAAAAAGAGCAGGAGCAAAAATGATGTGCAGAGGCTAAGGTTTTGTGCTCTTCTAGAAATGAAAAGATGCAAAAAAAAGTCTTCAGCCCATTTTCTTCAGAGAGGTACAAATCTTTTTTCTCTCTCTGGACCGGGAAAAATAGAGAGAACGAGCAGGAAAAAAAAGTTATCGAGTTATTTCCCGACGCCCGATTTTTTCGAAGAATAGGTATTTTGAATGGGAGGAAAGAGAGAAAAAGAGGAAAATCAAAATAATATAATGCTGTATTGTTTGAAATTTGTAAAAAAAAAACGTTGTTGGAGTTTGCCAAAATCGACCAATAAAGGCCAATTTATCTCGGTTCCCGAAAAAGATATTGAAAATGTGTCAACTGATAAATTGTTTATCATAATATTCTATACATTTTATCAGTTGACACAAGTTTGATATCTCTTACAGGAACCGAGATAATTGAGCTCAAACTTGACAGTGTGGGAGTCTTGTTTATACTCATATTGAAGATCTAGTTTTGGGAACTTCAAAAAACTAAATTTCATAAATTTTGAACAAAAATTGACTGAGATATGATAATTTGAAAAATCGAGATTTTTCAAAAAAATACTTTTTCTGAGAATTTTTTTCTCTGGAATTTTTCTTCTTGCTACTCAAGATGTTCCATTATTTGTTCCGTTCCCTTTTCTTTTTCTTTTGTTCAATAAAAAGAAAATTCTAGAAAAATTTTTAAAAGAAAACAACCAAAATACGTGTCCCACATTTTTCCGAGTGACCAAGAATGAAAACACTCGAAACTGAAAATTTCTGGTAATTCTGAAATTCTGAAACTCTGAAATTTACAAATTCAGCACACAATTTTGCCCAGGATGTCACTCACGCACACACACACACACACGCGCACACACATACACACACACACACACACACACACACACACAGGGCCTTCCGGGCCGGGCCCGGGTGTTGAAAATTTCCTCAGGCCCAGCCCGGGCTTTGGCGGGCCGGCCCGGAATTTTACAATTATGGAATTTACCTTTTCCTTTTACAATTCTCTTTTTTTAGGCCTATTTTTTTAGGAACATTTTTTTTCAATATTCCCAAAATCCTATTCTTCGAGTAGGTGGTCCAAAATTGTCTAGACATTTTATTCTTTCTAAAAAGGCGCCAAAAACCAGAATAATATTTTTTTCTTCTAGGTCAAAAGAGCAGTGCCAAACAATTGAAAAATAGTAACACAATGGGTAAAATGATGTTCAGCTACTCAAATGGAAAAAAAAAGAGACAAAAAGAAATTTTTAGGGGAGGGGGGGGGGACCATCATCATAACTCACTGATGCGGAATTCTGGGGGAAAAAATTGAGAAAAATGAGGAAAAAGAAACAAAATGAGGAGGAAAGAGTTTGGCTGTTTTGGTGCTGAAAGATGGGAGAAGAAGAAAAGATTTTGAAGAAAAAATTTTATGAAAATTCGATTTTGGGGAGTTTTGTGAGAGACAGACAAAGAAGGTGACGTGTATATGGGTCAGCTGTGTGGCCTTCGAAAGTGTTGGGATTCAGAAATGCTGCCTAAATTCAGAATATACGGTATCTTTTTGCCTAGAATCTTGAACATTTTGGAACCCTAGATCTTTGGAATTTGAGAATTTTGGTATTCCAAAATTTCCGAACTTCAGAGATTTACGTCTTTAGGAATTTTTTGTGTTTTTGATTGTGATAGTTTCAGAGCCTCAGGATATCAGAATCTCCGAATCTCAGAATCTCAGAATCTCAGAATCTTAGAATCTTAGATTCTCAGAATCTCAGAATCTCAGAATCTCAGAATCTTAGATTCTCAGAATCTCAGAATCCCAGAATCTCAGAATCTCAGAATCTCAGAATCTCAGAATCTCAGAATCCCAGAATCTCAGAATCTCAGAATCTCAGAATCTCAGAATCTCAGAATCTCAGAATGAATTCCAGAATCTCTCAATTTCTGAATCTCAGAATCTCAGAATCTCAGAATCTTAGAATCTCAGAATTTCAGAATCTTAGAATCTCAGAATCTCCGAATCTCAGAATCTCAGAATCTCGGAACTTCAGATACTCAGAAACAGGTCACCCGGATCCAGGTCACCCGGATCCAGGTCACCCGGATCCAGGTCACCGGAATCGAGGCCCCCCGGTCCAGGTCACCCGGATCCAGGTCACCCGGATTCAGATCACCCGGATCCAGGTCACCCGGATCCAGGTCACCCGGATCC